GGCTCCCGCGGGATCCGCCCGGGCGGCTCCTCCGGCCGCGACGGCAGCAACGAGGAGACCGAAACGGAGCTGCCGCGGGGGAACTCCGCCGTCTCGGCGGCCCCTTCCCCCCCCCCCCGCTTCGTCGCGTTCAGCTGCCGCTCGAGCTCCGAGCAGGAGAGGTCGCGCGGGGGGGCCGCGCGCGCGTCCGGCTCCGTCAGCCCCCGCTGCGTCGACTCCAGCCCACTGGAGGGGGTCGCCGCGGATTTGTAGGTCGAGCTCTTCTGCGAGCCGGCCTCGCACAGGGAGACGAAGCTGAAGCTGTTCGACTGGAACGACTCGCTTTGGACGTTCACGATCGACAAAATCGCGTCGATGGACTGAAACGCGCCGCTGTAGACCGCCCGGCTATTCCGCTTCGTGATCGGCACGAAGCCGTGGGGTTGGGAGAGGGAAAGCGCCGCGTTGACGGAGTGGGTTTTTTTCCGATGATCCCCCCTGCCGGCGGTGGGTTTCTCCCACCCCGCTGCGTTCCCGCTCCGACTGCTCCGGCCGTTGCTCGAGCCGGCGGAGCGGACCATCATCCCGCGGTTATCCGTGATGGAGAGGTTGTGCATCTTAAGGAGGTCCTCGGAGGCTTTGCCGGAGAGGATGCCGTCCGTTACCCCGCCTTCCGAGGCCGGGAAGACGTCCGAGGCTTTGAAGTACAAACTCTTGCTCGTCGTCCGGCTGCGGATGGTCTCGACGAAGTGCCGGACGATCCGCCGCGTCTGGTCGGAGACCTGCCGCATCGGCCGCGACATCACCTCGATCCCGTCGCTTCGCGCGACTTTCCGCATGCACTCCTGGCGAATCCCGGAGGCCCGGCAGTAGCCGGAGCCTTTGGGGGCGTTCTCCGCGCCCGCAGGGTCCTTCACCGACCGCGCGATCGGCGTTCGCGCCTGCGAGGTGGAGTTCATCAGCGATCCACGCCGGCGATCGGGCGCCGCGGTCGCCTCGATCTCGGCCCGTTGCCGGATCTTCCGCTGGAAATCCTCGCTATCGAGAAATTTCTTCAGCTGCTTTAACCCCCAACGCTTGCGGGGGTTCTTCTCCAACAGCCCGGATAGAATCGTATTCCACTCCGGCAAGACGCTTTCGCTTTCGAGGTTGTAGCCATTCCACGGGTACGCACGGGTGCGGATGTTCTCGCACACGTCGCGGTAGTAATTCCCGCCGAACGGAACGACGCCGATGAGCATGCAGTGCAGCGTGATCCCGAGCGCCCAGTTATCCGTCATGTAAGGGTTCACCTTCGTGATATCCACCTCCGGATCGAGCAGTTCGGGCGCGGTAAACAAAAGCGTTCCGCCGCCAAACCGCGCGGCGGTGGCGCTATGCCCCGCCACCTTTTCTACTACCCCGGGCATCCCCAAGGTGGTCGACCCCGCAGGTTTGCCCGCCCGACGTGCGAGGTCAAACTCGCTCGACGGAACCGGGTGCGGCGCGAGAATTTCACTCACGCCGAAATCGGTCAAATAGACGCGGCCGTTGGAGCCGAGGAGGATGTTATCGGGCTTCACGTCGTGGTGCACCACATTCCGATCGTGCATATACCGAAGCCCACTCACCAGCTGTCGGAGGTAGAGCGCGCAGATCGTCTCCTTGAGCGGCCGGCAGCCATACACGGAGGGCTCCGAGTGGATTTCTTCATCCGACAGCGGTTGGTCGCCATCGGGGCGATGTCGGATGCTGCAGCGGATTAAATACCGGTTGTACTTGATCCCGTTCACCTTCCCATTCGCCTCCGTCGCTAACAGCATCGCGGGCAGGAGTTTGGTATGCCGGAGATGCACTACAGGACCGTTGGGGACGTAGTCCATGATCAGGTATAACTTCTGCGAGGCCGGGTCGTCAATGACCTCGTATAACGAAACGCAATTACGATGCCGGACCTTTTTCATGATCGTGATCTCACGCATCAGGGCATTGTCCCCCCCGGCCGCACTATTTCCGCTTCCAAATTTCTTTTGCAAAAACTGCTTGTCAATCACCTTGATGGCCACCTTTTTTCCCGAATCCATCTCCTCCGCGAGCATGACTTTTCCATAGGAGCCCTCGCCGATGTTGGCGAGCACCACATAGCGGTTGATCATGCGATGCCCTTTCTGATCAAACGCCACCGCTAACTGATTCGTTTCGTGAACGGGCGGGCACATAAGGCTCGCCGTGCTCATCACCGAAACAAGGCTGTCGGACATATCATTATCCTTTTGGGATGCTGGATTAAAAGATGAGAGCGCTAAACTCTTAAGTTGCTCTCCTACGGTGAAAATCTCTTCAATAATTTCTACTAATGCTAGCATAAAGTTATCTACATCATTTTTGTCTTTAATGCGCAAAAGCCGTCGCAACTCGGTCTCCTTGGCCGCATCCGTCGGGGAGTTTAAGTACGATTTCAAACCGTGCTTCGTGAGAATATGCACAAAGCACTGAGAAGCCTTGATCACGGTATCCACCGCCAACTTTGAGAGGTTGCTCGGCGAAGAGGTGCTAGAAAGTGGGGGGGAATTGGTGATTGAGAGGTAATCGCCAGAAGGGCCGCCCGGCTCATTCCCATTATCCGAATTATCTAAACTAATACTAGGTGTCTCCTCACTCGCCATGGACGTCCCCAGCTCCCCGAGTAAATCATCGATAAGCGGGTTATGCACGGAGGAAAACTTGGGTCCTTGGTAATCCGGCTTTGAAACCTCATTGATCGTTTTTCTAGTGATTTTTGAGCTACGGGACGCGGGAACGCAAGTCGGAACATTACGAGAGGAAACAGCAGTGGTACTTTTAGCTGTCTTTCTTTTTGGCTTCATCACTTCAACGCCTTCAGCGTCAACTCACCAACAAGTGAGTAGCAATATTGTTTATGATTAATATAATGCACGTTCCTCTTTATTTTATTCAAGCTGTGCGAAAAAGTTTCAATTCAAATATGTGGAATGTGTACACTGTACCAGTACACAGACAATCCAACAACACTAAAGGTGACAAAACAAAGGTATACAAAAATATGTTGAGAGAGATAGAGACTCAAAACACACTTAAGGGAATAAAAAAAGACAAATAAAAAAACGACAACACGCTATATAAGACTATGTTCCAACGGTGTTTAACTTTTGAAATAAACAAAAAAAAACAACAGAGCAATAACACCCAAATAACGCAATTAAAAGGCAACAACAAAAAAAAAGAGGGCAAAAAAAACTAGTCCTTACAACTCTTAATAGAGTTATTTATATTATTTTCTTGTCCTGATAGAGCTGCCCCTTACCAGGAAAGAAATAGCTTCGTAGACAAAATTGAGCTAGAAAAGAACTTATAAGTGGATATCCTTGCAGAATATATTACGTGTAATCTTAAGCCATGTAGTCTGATCAAAATCAACAACCAAAAAATGTTGACCTAAGTAACTTACCCAGACAGAAAGGATGAAAATGGAGTAAGTCCTTGAAGCTAATGTAATATTTATATGGCTCCAATTATGAAATCAGAAAAAATGTAAAATGTTATAAGAGTTTACTTTTCCTTTCTTTTTTTTTTTGACTCGCTTTATGAAGGAGTTTGAAGTGTTCAAAAGGAGAAAAGAACAATGATAAAAATGAGATAGGAAAGGACTTCACCATGATGATAATGATGATTCAAATTTCGACTTGTGAATGAACTTTTTTGTTGTTATTTATATTATTTGTTTGCTCATTTGTTGTTTCGAAAATTAGGAATTGCGTCGCCCCGCTCTAAGAATCTCTCCTTCGTTTCCCTAAAGTCAATCTCTCTTTTTTAGTACGATTCAAGTAATAGTAAACACTAAAATGCAAATGCTAAGTCAGAAATAACGTATACCGATATTCTTTTTTTGTGGTGGTGGTTGTTTATTTGTTTCCTAAGGTTCTGCGGTATGATGGTTGGCACTCTTTTAATCGTCATGAGCCGTTACGAAGAGCCCCCTCCTCCCTCCTTTGAAAGGTCGTCGCCGTTGGATTCCTTCCCCTCCCCGGCAGGGTGATCCCAGGTGGGATCGACGCACATCCGATACGCGGCGCTCAGCTTCCCCGCCAAAAACCAGTTCTCGTGCTTTTGGGCAACCGCGAACATCCGTTCAAAATTCCTCCGCGCGAGTTCCCGCTCCGACGGGGTGGTGAGCGGCAACCCCGCGGGATTCGCGGGCGATGACGGGGTAGGGTGGATCCCTAAAATCTGCAGCGCCTCAAGCGACGTCATCGGCGGCCGGTTCGGATGCGACCCCCCCCCCTGACGACCCCCTTCCGACGACGACGACGAAGAAGAGGGGGTGCCCTCCGATGCCGCCTCCGCCTCCTCCCGCCGAAGACGCTGCCGTTCGTTATGAAAGGCGAGAAGGAAGGCCTGGCCGACGGCGAGGCCGGCCACCACGAGCAGCCGCGCGAGCGGCGGGGGGAGGAATAAATTCCCCCGGGTGCTGCGGAAAAGCCCGGGGGTCGGGGCCGCCCACGCCGTGGCGGCCACGCGCGTTCGCGAAATCCCCCCAACCCTTCCCCCCCCTTCCGTCAGGACCGCAGGCGGCGTGGAACGAAATCGGAGGCCGGCGAAGGCGGCGAGCGTGGAAAGCGGCGCGCTCGATCGAACACGCCGGAAAGCGGGTAAACCCCACGAATACCGCATGGCGCAAAATTTCACCGACGAAACCTTGGGTAGTATACCAAAAAAGAAGGAAGAAGGAAAAAAGAAATACCAAACGAAGAAAATAAAACAAACCCAAACGTCATCGCCCCTCGCGACCGTTCCCGCTTCACCTCCCATACATGGATCGCCCACGCGTTTAAATGGCAAACACCGCGTTTTTTATTCGCCCGATTAGGATTGCCTCCTCCCCCCTTCCCCCCCCCCCCTTTCCACATTACTCTAACCATACACGACGGAGATCCCTTCGCCTCGACTTTTGGATTCAGGAAAGTTCCGCGATCAGGGCGTTTTGTTCTCGGATTTGCTTCTCATTCCACGCCTCGAATTCGGCCTCGGTCATCCGCATAAACGGCGCGATCACCGATTTTTTCATCCGCAGTGGGTCGTAATTCGGGCTGGAGAGCGCGCGATGGGCCTCCGCGTAGACCCCCCGGATCTGCTCGAGGGGCGCCTCACTCCGACGAAACACCGCCGGGGAGGCCTTCAACGCCGTCAAGGTGGCATCCCGCACCCGCTCATACCGCCGCTCCGCGCGAATCACGCGATGGACGAGGAAGCGATGCCATTCGTGCAAAAACGGCAGCGTCCGGCGCTGGGAAAGGGGGGTGGCGCGGAGAAACCGAAGGAACCGGCCCCCCCAATACCGCAACTCCTCCATCGCGTCGGTGAACTCGCCGAGGAGGTCGAACCC